ATAATTCACAATGTATCTTTCTCCAAAAATTGGAAGGCGTGATTTCATTTTTCTAGGTCTTGCACGTAGGCAACCCCTTAAATGGACGAGTATGAAGGAACCGTGTTCTTGCTTTTTATTAGCTCAGCATAGTCTGTCACGTGAAACTGACGTTCTTGGCAGCGCGTTCCTAACTTAAAGACGGTTGGAAACTTCTCTTATAGAAGTTGCGTCTATTGAAAGCTCTATCAGTCGCGAACGCACATTACGGTGAAGCAAGTTTCGCAATTCCGAGATTTCTCTACCAAATCACAATACCCTAAAGTCAACAAGTTGTACTTGTCGAAAGTAGGTATTTATCGTAGTATTATTCACAGAGAATATTCCATGACTTTTAAACATGTGCACAAACTTTTATTATTTTATAAATAAAAAAAAGTGCGTGATTATTTTTCATATTATTTCAATTTACTACTTTAAACAAATTGTGCAAGATTATTTTTCTATTATCATTATTTTACTATTTTCATTGCCCTTCCAACATATAATATTATTTTTTTGTAACGTGGCAAACTGATAGCGCAAAGCTAGAAGCACGAATAATGATAGATCGATATATCTTGCGACAATGAATGAAATATCGGGAGTCTTTACAATGTGTCAGACTATTTTTAGAACATTACTGGGTGGAGAGCGATCAGATGCATGGTCTGTTGCATGTGAATGCGCTTCCTATACGTTGAATATTCATGCAACAATCTGTAATTTGTGTCGAGCCAAAGGTCCGCACATATATTTGCAACCATCAACATAATTTTTCATCCAACAATCCTCGAATGAAGCGATTTTTCCGAATCACGAAACTAATGAATTTTAATCATATCAAGCGACCTGCGTTCGTGCTTGCTACTGCGCGATACATCTGATTGCAATCTTGCGTGTGTGACAGAAAAATCTTTTATTAGAAGCTACGTAATTGCAATACTTTTGCAGCTTTTGATTAAACTGTCGGGATGCGATATAAAAATGTTGGAAATAAAAAATAAAAACGAGAACATATGTACTACTCCCAATTTAATTAAATTTCTAGAATTTCGATAAAGGTTACGTTAAATTATTTTAATTCAGGTCGGACTTTTGTACTTGAATAGGACAGATTCTATTAACTTGAGCGTCTGTTGTGATGTAAATGTATCCCATTAAATAACAATTATATCGAACAAACGCGGCCTCGGTTTCGAATCAAAATCGTCGATGAGATTAAAAAAACGGATCAAAATGGCATTAATCCTCAATTTATTTCATGTAAATTCTATCTCTTCATGTAAATCTTAATTTTAGATTTAATTTTGGATTCCAAGGATATTTAGGTAATATTGAGATTCGTATGTACTCTCAAATTCTCACTAAACTCCCTGCAGTTTGATGCAAATTTTGCGGGAACATCTGATGGCGCGCACACATACATCACGCACACAGTGGTAACAGCAAACGGCGTAAAAGTCGTAAAAGGGAAAACTATTGGAGAAAACGGTGTACATGTTGGAGTGATAGAAGGACATTCTTAATACCCAGGGGTTCCGAAAACGCGCGCCGACACGAGAAATCTCTCAGGAGCGCCGACAATATCCCCGTTTTTCACATTGTGTTTCTTGCGCTCGTGCGCCAGACTCTCTCGGCTGTTCTCGAATCTCATCCCCGGAAAATTAGTAGAACCGTGTGTTATCCTCCGTTCGTGCTGTCGTCGGAATCGAAACTGCGAAAAAAGCGGGTAGCCGCCATCTCGTTGCCGTCTAGCAACGTCGTCGACAGTGAGAAAACGATAATTATAGACGAAAGTACGATGATACGCGATTATTGTAACGAATTAGGACGTTAATTTCCTAAAAGCTCGCCGCGCCCGTAATGTCTGCTCAAAGATAAGTCGCTAGGGGAAAAAAGCGGAGAGACGACAATGCACCGAAGATGGTTGGTCGGTTAACACGGATGGTCGGTTCAACGGGACGGAAAGAGGAGGTGTGAAATGGTGAGACCTACCATCGTTCCCGTTAAATATTTTCTACTCTTTTCTCATGTTCACTCTCCAGTCCTATCGATACCTAGTTGACCGATAGCCGGCGGAGGGTGCCTATCGGCATTCTAATGCACCGTCGCCGCCGGCATGGACCAATGCCCAGCCCCGTTTAAACAGGGCGAATTTCGAACGTGTAGGTGGAGTATCGATATTACGCTGTTATCCCGCGTATCAAATCGAAATGGTCGAACTCGATGGCATTACCCTCTCGACATCTCACGCTCGCTTTTCATCGGGAAGCGAATGGAGCGCACTTGAAAATACGCCGTTTACGCCCGCAATCAGTGCGTATCTCGATAAAAAAAAACTTCCTTCCATGTCGAGATCGTGTAGTGAGTGAATTATTCCTTTTCAATTGCCCGGTCTGCTCTCATGTACTAACCTGTGTTTGAGAAAAAATTTTTGGTATTTGTGATTATAATTACATGTTATCATAATTATAATTATGATTATATTATGTTAGTAACTATATATGTTAGTAACTATATAAGTTTCATTAACTAATACTGATAGTTGACAACCGAAAATGACTAACAATAGTTAAATTATAGTAACATTTTTACAGTAATAATAATAATTATTATTACAGTTATTTTTGTTGTCAACTATAGACCGGATTTGTTAATAAAAC